GACAGCTAGTTTTCTGTATGGCAGTTTTTCTCACCCTGGGCACTTTAAAGACCTGTGGCCTCCAACCCCAAAATTCCCCCGGGCTGGGGAATTCTGGGAGTTGAAGTCCACAGGTCTTAAAGTTGCCAAGGTTGAGAAACACTGCACTACAGCAAACTAGCTGTCGTTCATCAAAATGAGGAAAGCACTATTACACCATCGCAAGACAAATTCTGCCTCTTTGGTACGTGCATACACCTCCTGATGTTCACACGCAAGGGGTGACGCTTGCAATGTGACAGTGCAACAGTTTTCATCATTTCCATGCTGGCTGGGGAATTCTGGGAGTTGAAACCCACACGTCTTCAAGCTGCCAAGTTTGATAAACACCGCTCTAGATCTTCCTCCTCCTCACCCCAGGCTGCTTTTCTGGGCTGGCGGGCACATTTCCAAACAAAGCATCATGCTGGAAGGTGTCTGCTTTGCCATATGCCAGTTTCTCCTGTTTAAAAAGTGTTTTTCAAAAAGATAAAAACAGCCAGGTAGGGCAGGCACCGTGTCAGGCTGATGGGAACACCAGTGGTGTCACATCAAAGAGGCGATCCTTTAAAAAAAGCCCTCCCCTTCTCATTCCTACCCTCTCCCATTCATTACTCTGACGAAGTTACAAGCACTCACCCTTTCAGAAAACAAACATTTGCAAGCCACTGAAAGGGATTTTCCGCGTGGGACGCGCCATTCCCCAACGATGCACCCCGGCCCGGTTGGTCGATCTAAACGTGCAACCGTTTCACAAAGGTTGTGTTTTGCTCTAAAGACAAGAGCAAAGTGGGGGGTCCCTGACAGAAATCCCAGTAGCATTATAAAAAGGAACATTTTCATCCGTAGGACCTGGAGGGCGCCTTACGAACAACAGCTTCGGATCTCGTTTCAGCTGGAGATTGCAAAACCTGCATTCTGGTTTTTAGGACGAGCTCTCTGTTCTCATGCCAGCAACAACATGTCTCCCTTTGAATTCTTCCCGCAACTCAAGGAAGTCTCCAGGAGTTGGAACAAGCACCTCGGGGTGAGATTCTCAAGGTGGGGGGCAGAGCAAAGAATGTTTTCCCAGGTGGTCTCCACCAAGGTAACCCCGCCAGCGTTCAACCAGAACTGCAGGAACAAAATCTCTCTTCCAGATTCCCTGCAAAGCTGTTGTTGTTGCAATAAATCAAGGACTAGAAAGGATCTGGGAAGCCCAGGGGACCCCACCCCAAGAGAAGAGGCCGTTCGCCAGGTCTCACACTCTGTTTGACCCACTGATCAAATTCACCTCTTTCCAATCCTGTTCGGTTTTTCCAGCCTGACTCAAAGTGGGTATTGCCAGGCCTGCTGCAATGTGATGATTTTAAACTCTAACTCAGTGTTTCTCAACTCTGACAACTTTAAGATGAGTGGACTTCAACTCCCAGAATTCCCCACACAGACAGCAGGGCGTTGGGGGATGTGGGGTGTGGTCTACCTCATTCTTTTTATTCGGGGATGTGTGAATA